CGATGCGTGCAGGTCGGTGCCGGAAATTTAAGCGTGAAGATATCGCCATTTGGGCCATGATGGCATTTTTCTTTACTCTTGCTTTACTAATAATTATTCCCAATATTAGACTTAGGCAGGAAAATCCTTCTTTGAATCGTTGAAATAATACAGTGCCAATAAAATGATTGAACATTTTCCCACTATAATTTATATTTTCAGCAGCATAAACCTTAAAACATGTATGGTGTTTGAGCCTTTAACTCTCTTTTTAAATACTTAGGACTTAAAATATTTAAATAAACTAAACCATTCTATTGGTCTTTATGGACTATGAAACACACTATACATATTACTTAAATTATATTGTTCGGATTTGTCTTCTGTCTGATTGGTCTTGTTTGTTAGCAGCATAACACAGTGTAGTGTAAGTACAGCCATGATCCAAAGCCGTCCGTTGGACACGGCGGGCCGTCCCGAGGACGACGCCGGCAATGTGTTGGTGACCTTCTTCACGACCACCTTTGCCAAGGCCGCGCCGGAGCAGACCTTTTCGGTCCCCCTCAACGTCCTTCCGGATGGGCTGAACCAACTGCTCAAGAGCGTCCTCGCCGTGGCGGACGTCGACTTCGACTTTCTCTACCAGGACGAGTACATCTCGACGTCGCTATCGCGTTTTATGCGGCGCCGCGGGGTGGGGGTGGAGGGGCTGCTCGCGCTGGAGTACAGCCCGGCCCTGCGGGCGGCGGAGGGCCCCCTGCGGCCGCACGACGACTGGGTCAGCGCCGTCCGCGCGCCCTACGGCGGGGGCGGCGAGGTCCTCCTCACCAGCTCCTACGACCACGGCGTGCGGGTGTGGGAGGGGGAGACCTGTCTCGCCCTGGGGTCCTTCCACCGGGAGTGCGTGAAGGAGGTCTGCATCCACTCCATGCTGGGCCCCGCGGGGGGGGGCGCGAAGGGCGAGACGCGGAAGCGGGACCGCCCGGCCGCCGCCCTGGGGGATTTTCTTTTCGTCAGCGCCGGCAAGGACGGCAGCCTGGCGTCCTGGCGGTACCGCGAGGGCTCCGGGGGGGTGGAGCTGCTCGGGAGCATCCATGCCCACCGCGATGGCGTGGACGCGGTGGATGTCCTCCCGGTCGAGGGCCGCCTCGTCGCGAGCGCCTCGTGGGACGCGACGGTGAAGGTTTTTAACTGGGCGGAGCAGCTCCAAAGCGGGGATGGGCTGCCCTCGACCAAGGCCCCGGTGCTCACCTTCACGGACCACACCCGCCCCGTCCTCGCCTGCCGCTTTTCCCAGGCCCACTACTGCGGCGCCGTCCACCTTCACTCGGCCGGGCTGGACGGCAACCTCAAGACCCTCGACCTCACCTCGGCCGAGATGGTCCGGCAGTTTAAGGGCGACCACCCCATCAACGGCATCGCCGTGAAGCCCGGCGGGGGGGATTCCGACCTCATCCTCGCCGCCTGCACCGATAACCGGGCCCGGCTCTACGATACGCGCGGGAAGGAGGTGGTGAAGACCTTCGGGGGGGCCCGCCAGTGGCTCTACGCGGCGACGTGGCTTTGGCGGCGCGAGGAGGCCGAGACCGCCGCGACCGCGAACCTCTTCGCCACGGGCGGGGAGGACGGCGCGGTGCGCGTCTACGACCTTCGCTCGACCACCGCCGCCCTTCTCACCCTCGATAACCTCCACACCGATGGGGTCTTGGACGTCTCCTACGCCGGGGGCTCCACCATCGTCTCGGGCGGGAAAGACAACCGAACCCAATCCTTTACGGTCTCGAAAGAAACCATCGCTTAACCCAATAAAGGCTCATTAATCCTAACAATGCCACCCTATTTAAGTCAACCTACTCTTTCTTTCTCGCTTTGATATCATAGCTGTCTTTTTGCCCTTTGAGGGTTACACGGTGTGAATATCCTATCATGTTACTTCTACACGCATGGCTTCTCTATCTTTCCTTTTTTTGTTTTTTACCGGATCGAGTCCTTGAAGTGTCTTTGGTGTGGAGATCTAAGCCCGTATTCAAAGTAAGGATGCCTCCGAAGCGGGGTGGTCGGGTTAAGGGAAAGCGGGCGGGGTCCGATGCGCCGCAAAAAAAGCGGCGGCGCGAGCCCACCGCCGAAGCGATCAACCCCCCCGACAGCGATGCCAACCCGAACCTCGGGGAGCACCGTGAGGCGGCGGAGAGGGCGCCATCGCAGGAGGAAATGGCGGAGTGCCCGATCGACTTTGACGACGTCGAGGCCGAGGAGGAGGACGCCATCGACTTGGATGGGGCGATTCTCGCGGACGACGACTTTGAGGTCAAGGCCGAAAAGTACCGCCGGCGGATGTTGGCGCAGCGGCAACTCGCCGACGCGGAGGCGCGGGAGGACATCCAAACCCGCAGCCACAAGACGACCCCGTTTGCCATCGCGGACGCCTCGGCGGGTTCCCCCGAGGGGGGCGATGTCGAGCTTCTTCGCCCCTCTCACTCGACGGAGGAGCTGCGGGACCGCATCGCGGAGACGGTCCGCGTGCTCTCGAACTTCCGCGAGGACCGCGAGGAGGCGCGCAGCCGCACGGCCTACGTGGAGCTGCTGCGCGGCGATTTACTGCAGTTGTACGAGTACAACGAGTTTCTGATGGACAGCGTCCTGCAGATGTTCCCCCCGGCCGAGGCGGTGGACTTTTTGGAGGCGATGGAGAAGCCGCGGCCGACGACGATCCGCGTGAACACCATCAAGTGCAAGCGGCGCGACCTGGTCCAGGCCCTCGTGAAGCGTGGGATGAATGTCGAGCCGCTGGAGAAGTGGTCCAAGGTCGGCCTGCAGGTCTTCGAGTCCAACGTGCCGATCGCCGGGACGGTGGAGTACCTGGCGGGGCATTATATGCTCCAGGCCGCGGCGTCCTTCCTGCCGGTGATGGCGCTGGCCCCGCAGGAGGGGGAGCGCGTGTTGGATATGGCCGCGGCACCGGGGGGGAAGACGACGTACATCGCGCAGCTCATGAAAAACACCGGCGTCCTCTTCGCCAACGACGTCAGCGAGGGGCGCTGCCGGGCCCTCAACGCCAACCTGCAGCGCCTTGGCGTCGCAAACGCGATCGTGACGAACTACGACGGCGCCGGCTTCGCGGCGGTGATGCGGAACTTCGATCGGGTCCTGCTCGACGCGCCGTGCACGGGGACCGGCATCATCGCCCGGGATCAAAGTATTAAGCGGGGCCGGCAGCTCGCGGACGCCCAGCGCGCGGCCCAGCTCCAGCGCACGCTCCTTCTGAGCGCGATCGACGCCTGCCGGGTCGGGGGCCACGTCGTCTACTCGACCTGCTCCTTCCTCACGGAGGAGGACGAGGCCGTCGTGGACTTCGCCCTGCGGCGCCGGGCGGTGCGGGTGGTGGAGATGGGCCTGCCCTTCGGCCGGCCGGGCTTCACGAAGTACCGCCACGCCCGCTTCCACGACAGCCTCGAGCGGTCCCGGCGGTACTTCCCCCACGTCCACAACATGGATGGCTTCTACGTCTGTAAGCTGCAGAAGCTCGCGGACGCGCCGGACGCCCCCACGCCCAAGGCAGAAGGGAGGGGGGGGAGGGCGCGTCGGACGGCCTCGGACGGCCCCAAAGGCCAAGGCCGAGCTGAAAGCCATCCACCGCGTGCGCTGAAGCCCGTGGGCGGCCGGGGGGGCAAACTGAGCATCCCACCGAGAGAAAACACTTCGTAGCCAAGGCAAACGCACTCGCCGAATCCGGCTCCAGGACCGTTCGTCGAGGCCACGGGTTGGATGACTTTTATTTAATACGATTAAATGTGTTCGAGTGAATACAAGTTGTATGGGTCTCTGAATGGGAATCTGAATAAAATTAATAACAGAGCGGAAATAATCTCATATGGGCGTTGTGACACTACAAGAGGAGGGGGGGGGATTCTGTTACATCGTTTCCCTTCTTTTCCTTGTAACTGAACACTTCAATGGTTTTCATTGTTAATTAAATGGTGACATTCACTGGTAAGGATTTATTTATCTTTCTTTATCTATTTTATTTGTTGTCGTTTCCTCTCTCCCCTTTAGTCTAACACATTCTATCATTAATATGTGAGACGCATGGAGCGGTTAAAGGGATACCTGAAGGAAACTGTTGTCCAGGAGTACTTTACCACCTTGCCTTCTCGATGGCCACCCCTTCTCCAGCGTATTGGAAGAAATACACAGGCGGTGCAGTCGGGGTCCGATCTACGGCACAAAGAGACTGCTCTGAGGCGTGAGCTCGAGCACGACTTCTCCCTGGCTCAACAGCTTTTAGATATGGAGCATCAGGTTTACCGTGTGGGCATGGGTATCTTTTACGATTTAGAGCAGACGTTGGCGCTGCCTGTTTTTCGATCTCAGTTGGTAATGTTCTTAAAGGGAATGCTAAATGAGCTGTCGCTGAAGGAGTCTGTTCTCGCGGACTGGAAGTCCTCTGTCGACACCATCTCAGCAAACACGCTGCGGATATACACCCAATGTTTACTATCACCGAAGGCCGTCCAACTAGGCGATGTGGAGCGTTTGGTAGCGTTAATGACGGAGACCAAAGCCAACGATCTGTGACAGAATCGACAGACACTCATACAGAAAGAGTGAGGGTGCATCAATACGTTTACTGAGTAAAGCGTGTCGAGATACAGTGAACTTTTTCGGTGTATCATAGCTCTAGTGTAAGAAAATAAAAAATATCCAAACAGTCTTTGCTTACACTAGATGGTGTTGATCTATGATTCTGTAAATTTTTAATGGTTGATCTTTTTATTCTGGCATGTTTTTCATTTTTTTTATTTTGAGTTCTTTCCCGCTGTTCGATACATTGGGATTGGTTGATTTTCGAAGGGACACTAATACAAGTTCAAGTTGTCTTTTGTTTTACCTTTACACATCTTGTTTGTGTGTTGTTAAGTGGTTTAGATCATGACGGAGATGAAAAATGGAGAAGATTTACCGCCAACTTCTCGTAAAGCGCAGTCATTATTTGAGCTAACGCAAACCATGTTCGCTTTTTTCTTTTCATATTTTGCGAGCGCGCAAGATACCCTTTTACGCGACTTCAACCAATACCGAAATGCTCTATACAAATCTTTGGTGCGAGGATCCACTAAAGGCCGTTCTCTGTTAAAGAAGGCGATCCTTTTTAACGGGGTGCTGTTTTCATTGTCCTTCATCGTGCTGGTGCTACTGATAGGGTGCCTATTGTCTGCGATGGGCACTACCATTGCATTTCGATATTACATGCTACGGCACGTTGCCGGCAGCCACGTGATCCCGCTTGACTTTAACACCATGCCTTTTTACACGGAGTGGTGGCGCAACCAACCCATCGACGATGCCGCATTTACCCATCTTTCCCTATTAGCACAGGAGCGACCACCGGTTGGCTCGCGTCTTGAGGGAAATCAAAGCGGACGCATGACCCCGTATTCCTCGGAAGGTGTAGAGTTGGCGTATGCCGACATGAAATTATCCATTTTAAATAGGTATAGAAACAGCGTCTTAGCCACAAGTACCATGGTTCTCTCATCGGGGCTCACCGAAAAGGTTTTTTTGCATGGCGGTGACGTTAATTTAGAGGCGATCTTCCAGTTAGGATCGCCAATATTCAATGCCAAGGCAGAGTACTTTGGAAAAATGCAGTTTGTCTTTCTACGTGAGGATGTGGGACGTGATGTCACTCTCATGGTGGAGAACACCATGCTGCTTGCGGAGGATGCGGACCTTCCTCAACCCTTGGCTACACTTGATGTGGTTTTTCGGAAATATGTATCCCTAAATGTACGTACAGGTGATCCACTGCTATGGTGGCCTATAAGGATCGCCAAATATATATTTCAAATCCTTTTTTATATTCCCTTAAAGGGATTTCAAATAATTCAGCGTTTGTATATCGATTCCAACACCGCACCTTTTCCCAAAATTGATCATGACCGTGAGGTGGCTGTCACTGTCAACCTCTACAATCGCTTTGCGCCGCCCTTGTCGCTGCAGAGTCGTCTGCGCGCAATGAATGTTACCGTCTATCAAAACCATGATGGAGACTCATCCGTCTCCTTAAAACGAGCTAAATTGTTGCGCATGACCTTTTATTCTTTCCTGGATCTCCACGGTGTAGTTGGTTGGTTGGTACACCACCCTGTAATTAGCTTTGTATTCCTGACGATGTTTACATTTGCCGTTTTCTCTAGCGTGACATTTATTGTGTGCACGGTCCTGGTAGTGATGTTGTACCGAAAAGTCAAGTCTAGGACACCCGAAACAGGGCACGCTATAGATTTGAATCCTTCCATGACTCGGAGTCTGAAGCAACCCATAGAGCGATCACATCACTCGAAGCTTCGTGCCAGGACTAGTGAAAATCGATCCTTAAGTACGGCTCCACCCGAAATGGATGAATTTCGGCGCTTTGTATGGTCGTACTACTCTTCCAATTCGTCCGATTCCGCTGAGGAGGAGCCGGCGGGGGGTCCGATCTCGAAGCACCGCAAGGACCGGTGACGTGGGCCGGACCGCCAGTCAACCCGGGGCAGGTGGCACCGCCCTGTCAGGGCTCATGGACACTTCGAACACTTCCGTTAGAGACAACGTCGTGTTGGCAAAGTTCACACCCTTCGCCTTCTTGCTTGTGGTGGAAAGCGGCACCCAACCCCTTTGATAAGGTTATAGATTATATTTATTATATTTATTATTATTATTATGTTTGTTATTTTCTTTCCAACCAACCCTGATCGTGCTTTCTCCTTTTTTTTCTTTTCAAAGTGTTTGACTCTTTATTATACACTTTTCGGGTAGACTCTTAGATGAACCAGATAGATGACGAGTTGTTGCTACAGCTCAATGATCCCGAGGACTATGATGAGGTGGATAACCATGAGGGAGGGCAACGACAGGAGGAAGAGGAGGACGGATCTAACATTCTTGACAGTGAAGATATTTGGGAAGTAATTTCGTCCTTTTTTAGAGAAAAGGGGTTAGTTCATCAGCAAATTGACTCCTACAATGACTTCCTCATGCGTATCCCACGAATGGTCCGCGAGATCGTTGTGATTCCCTTACAAGATCAGCAGTACGACCCTGGCATGGGGCTGGAGCAGGAGCCCGATCAGCCTCGCTTCTCACTGGAGGACGTGGCGATCGGGAACCCCTCCCACGAGCTGTCCCATTACAAACAAAGCAGCGCACCGCCGCTCTTTCCCAATGAGTGCCGTCTGCGCGATATGACGTACGATGCCCAGGCCCAAGTCGCCCTCAGCATTCAGCTCTACCGCCCCCACGAGGACACGCCGCGCCATACGTATCTGCAGAACATCGAGCTTGGCCGTATTCCTGTCATGCTCAAATCCATGCGCTGCAACCTTGAGGGAAAGGATGAGGATGAGCTGCCGCCCCTGAACGAATGCCCTCATGATCAGGGAGGATACTTTGTGATTAACGGTACTGAAAAAGTGCTCATCGCACAGGAGCGCCAGGCCGCGAATCAGGTTTACAGTTTTTCAAGGCAGAAGGGATTGCTTTGCGAAGTCAAGTCGATCGTCGAGGGCTCTTTAAATAAGCCCCGAACGCTTCAGATGATTATGCAATACAAGAATAAAGGACCTGAGAGCGGTTTTGAGAACCTGGTTTGCCGCGTCGCCCAGATGGATGAGACCATTCCGTTGTTTGTGCTCTTCCGTGCGATGGATATGGTGACGGATAGGGAGATATTGCAAACTGTGGTGCCTGATCTGAAGGATACCGCCATGCTGGAGCTGCTGCGAGGCTCCATCGCCGACGCGAGTTCGCTCCGGATCTTCACCCGGGATGAGGCCCTTGGCTACATCGGTCGCCGCCTCGGTCGCCAGGATAGCATGGCGAATCTCAAGCAGGAGGCGGAGAGTCTTTTGATGCGCGATTTGCTGCCGCATATGGGCACCGATCCCTCCGCCAACCGCAATAAATGTCTCTTTATGGGATATATGGTACACAAGCTTCTTTTGGTTGCGCTAGGCCGGCGTGAAGACACCGACCGGGACTTCTTGGGCCACAAACGGATCGACGTTGCGGGGTCTCTGCTGACCTTCCAACTCCAGATGTACCTTTCGCAGGTTCGCAAAGAGATGGTCAAGACGTTGCGGATGCGCTCCGCGAGCTACAGCAATCGCTTCAGTTTCAGCAGCATTCTCCATAGCAAGCTCATCACCGATGGGCTTCGCCGCTGCCTGGCCACTGGTAACTTTGGGGACCTGAAGTCGGGGAACATCCGAACCGGTGTCTCGCAAACTTTGAATCGACTCACGTATTCCTCTTCACTGAGCAACCTACGCCGGATCCAAAACCCGATCGCGGCGTCCAGCAAGGCTACGCGTCCGCGCAACTTGCACTGCACACAGTGGGGCTATACCTGCCCGGTGGAAACCCCTGAGGGGTGTTCCATTGGGTTGCTGAAAAATCTCGCGCTGATGTGTCTCGTTTCCCGTGGGACGGACCACATCGACGTGGTGCAGACGGTCCAAGCGCGTGTGAACGGGTTTCACTCAATTGGGCTCGAAGAGATGGCGGATGTGCGTGTTGCCCGCGTTTTTGTGAATGGATCTTTAATAGGCGTCGATCGCAACCCCGAGCGTCTACTGCGCGAGCTACGCGCCCGACGCTGCAATGGCGAGCTCAGCAACGAAATCAGCATTGTGAGGTATATTCGCGATCGCGAAGTTCGCGTCTTCTCCGACGCGGGTCGCTGCTTGCGTCCACTCTTTGTCGTTGAAAGAGGTCAGCTGAAGCTGCGCAAAACTGGTATGGCGGACCTGTTAGTACCGTCTAGTGTGGCCAACCAAAAACATGAAATCTCATGGAGTCGTGTGATTAAGAAAGGGTATGTTGAACTCATCGACTGCGAGGAAGAGGATTCCCTTCTGATTGCCATGACCCCAGGCGATGTCAAAAATAACTACTACTATTCGCATTGCGAGATGGATCCCTCTATGATTCTTGGCGTCTGCGCGTCCATTATTCCCTACCCCAACCATAACCAGTCCCCGCGGAATACGTACCAGTCTGCGATGGGGAAGCAGGCCATGGGGATTTACGCCTCCAATTTCAACATGCGCATGGATACAACCGCGCATGTGCTGCTCTACCCCCAAAAGCCGTTAGTCCGCACCAAGGCGATGACTTACATGCGCAGCAATGATCTTCCGGCCGGCCACAACGCGGTGGTAGCGATTGCCTGCTATTCGGGCTACAACCAAGAGGACTCGATCATCATGAGCCGCTCCGCGGTTGAGCGCGGCTTCTTCCGAAGTGCCTTCTGGCGGTCCTACAAAGCCAAAGAGGAACGGCAGCGGAAGGACGCACTGGAATCATTTGAGGTTCCCGATCGTAGCATTTGCCACCTGAAGCGCGCGGACTACTCCAAGCTGGATGCCGATGGGCTCATCAAGCCCGGGATGCCGGTGATGGGAGGTGATGTCCTTGTGGGGAAGACCATCCCGCTTTCCGAGGCCGACCTTGAACGCACGGCGAACTACAACAACCGCATCACCAAGCGGGACGCCAGCATCACCTCTCGCACGACCGAAAAAGGTGTCGTCGACAAGGTGATGTTGACCCTGAACAACAAGGACCGCTACACCAAGGTCAAGATCCGTACGATCAAGATCCCCAACGTTGGCGACAAGTTCTGCAGCCGGCACGGCCAAAAGGGGACGAACGGCATCCAATTCCGCCAGGAGGACCTCCCTTTTAACCGCGACGGCGTCGTCCCCGACCTGATCATCAACCCGCACGCCATCCCCTCGCGCATGACGGTGGCCCACCTCATCGAGACCCTCGCCGGCAAGGTGGCCTGCTATAAGGGGGGGGAGGTCTACGCGACGCCCTTCTGCTCGGTCGTCGTGGAGGACTTCGGCAGGGCCCTCCACCAACTCGGCTCCCAGCGCTACGGCAACGAGTGCCTGTACAACGGCCACACCGGCCTGCCCCTGGACCACCTCATTTTCTTCGGCCCGACCTATTATCAGCGGCTGAAGCACTTGTCCGAGGACAAAATCCACGCCCGCCCGCGCGGGCCGCTCCAGCCGCTTGTCCGACAGCCCACCGAGGGGCGCGCGCACGAGGGGGGCCTTCGGTTTGGCGAAATGGAGCGGGATTGCATGCTCTCCTACGGGTCCTCGCAGTGGCTCCGCGAGCGCCTCTTCCGCGTTAGCGACTATTACGCCGTCCACGTGTGCAATATGTGCGGAACGATCTGCGTGGCCGACACCAAGCTTAACAAATACCAATGCAAAGGTTGCGATAACGACTCGCGAATCTCGCATGTTCTCATGCCATACGCCTGTAAGCTGCTTTTCCAGGAACTGATGTCCATGACAATCCTCCCTCGCCTAAAGACCGGGCCACTTTGACCCTAGAGCGCCACTTGCTTCCTCGACGTGCTTTATGCAATATCGGTGCGACCACATGGACCGTCGTTGGTTTAGCCTGCAAAGGCAAAAGCAATTCCTCCGTCTTCCAAAGGGGATTTGGTCGATTTTAAGTCTTAATTTTATATTAAAAAAATTTAACTTCTTGTGGAATGCAGGTGTTGGGTGTTGAGGGACCGTTATAAAGTCGTTTTGCTTAGACCTTTCAAAAGTTGGTATGTTGTGATCTTTTTGATCTTTGCGCCTGCAGTTCTTTGTATACTTCCCCCCCCCTTTCCTGTATTTCTCTATTCCCAGACATATTGGGCTCTTCATCCTGGCCAGGATGGGCCCACCGAATTTACAACGTTCGCTTTACCGTAAGACGTTGCGGCTTATAGCTGGGGTGGTACGTGCCGGCACTGCACAGGTGGCCGCGGCGCGTTGGGCGGAGTTTATCCCATCTTGCGTCGCACTTGACCGGGGCGATGACCTTGCGGTGATTGCACGCAAATGCTTTGAACGATCAGAAAGTTCTCCTGCCGCGCTCAGCAATGGCTTTAATTTCGTGAAAGAAGCCGCTGGGTCCGTTTTTTCAATCGAGGTGCGTGCGTTGTGGGAGAGGATTATTTATTCACAAGGCTGTGATTTAGTATCGGGAATAGGCTTGATGAGTGCATCCTTCGTGATAGCTGGCGGGGACCTCGTTCCAACAGCCTCTGTTGAGGCGCGTGCAAGAGAATTTTCAACTTTTATCGAACAGCTTATTCATAAAATAACCACAAATGTGACACAAGTGTTAAATCTTAAGAGCAATTTTAAGCATACACGAAAAACTTTGGAGCGGGCGCATGAAATAGTAGTGAGAGTGGCCAATATTCACCGAAGCGACTCCGATGCGGAGAACTACACCACTTTTTCGCTCATCAATGAGTCAAAGTGCTCAGAATACATCCTCAACATTATTCTCTTTAATGTCCTGCGGAATATGGGGTTTGTGTGCATTCTTGTGGATAGTAATTTGCATTTTCGATGGATTAGGGTCGATCTTGCTGACAAAGGTTCTAGCAGTAGTGCCCACGCTAAAGTTTTGTTCCTTTCGTGGTCTTATGGGGTGAAGAAGCGAAAGGAGGTAGAGGCTCTGAGCATCACCACTAACACCCAGTGGTTCAGACGTGTTCCATGGGATGACGAGACTAGAAAATCTGTGCTGTGTGAGTTATTAAGGCGACAATTGTCTTGCGTCTATCGGAACTCCACGGATTTTGCTACCGAAAAGGCGCGGGGGTCGATCTGCAAGGAGCAGATTATGATTTTAGTCATGTGAGGGCCTGAAACAATTAAAAAGCGAATATTTACTTTCGTAAATTAAGATTATTATGAAAGACTAATTCATTTTTATCTGTATGAATAAATTCATTTTACCATGATATGCGACGTAACATTCTGATTAAATAACGTGTGGCTTTAAACAAGCACATTTCCCTTGATGTCGAAGGGCTACTCCTTTACAGGAATAGTTTTTTTTTCTTTAAATTCGAAAGGTAATTGTCTAGAGACGCACATATTAGTATTTTCAGAATTTATTACTGCTTCATTTCACACACCATGAAGGAAATTAAGGTGAAGTGGGGTAAAAATGCTTATGCTCTCTCCGTGGACGACTCGAATACCCTTTTGGAGCTAAAGGAGCAGCTTTATGCCCTAACTTGCGTTCCAGTGGGGAAGCAAAAGATTATGGGCCTCAAGTCCACCGCATCGGACGACAGGGCCATTCTCTCACAGCTGGGAGTGGTGGCAGGAAAAACGTTGATGTTGATTGGGTCGGCGGAGGGCACGACCATCCCTAAAGCTGAGGCAGCAGAGGTCGAGAACAATTCGGGGGGTCACCGCGCAACGTCCGCCATCTCAAACGGCCTCCGGAATATCGCGAACACCTGTTATTTGAATGCCGCCGTTCAGATGCTGCGTTCGATTCCGGAGATTAGACAATGTCTTTCCCAGTACACTGGCAGCAACCCACTCCTAAAAGAACTGGGCAAGTTGCTGACTTTTATGGAAGGCACAAAGGAGGCGGTGCCCCCTCTTAATCTCTGGAGCTCACTCGTACAACTCAACCCCGTCTTTGGCGAGCGCGATGAGAACGGGATGTTTATGCAGCAGGACTCCCAAGAGGTGGTAAACTTTATTTTACAGCAGATCGATACCGCCCTGACGCCATCATGCGCGAGTCTTTTTAGAGGCAAGGTCCAGCAAAAGATTGTCTGCACCGAAGACCCGGACGATGCGGGAAAGATAACAGATATCCCCTTCACCATGCTGACTTGCAATATCTCTGGTGAAGTGCAAATGCTTGAAGCGGGTCTAGAGCAGGCGTTTAACGAGAAGCTGAATGCCGCAAACGAAAGACTGCAGCGGGAAGCGTCGTACTCCAAAACGAGTCGAATCAGCAGGCTGCCAGAGTATGTGGTAGTACATATGGTGCGCTTTTCTTGGAAAAGTGATGTTCAAAAGAAAGCCAAAATACTGAAACCTATCACGTTCCCCTTCACACTTGATCTCTTTACTCTTCTCACGGAGGACCTAAAAGAAGAGCAAAAGACGTGCCGTGAGGCGATCCTAAAGCGCCGTGATGAGGAGTTGGAAAGGCGGAGGAGCACCCGCGGCAAGCCAGCTCCGCCGATAAACAATGCGGAAAGTGTCGTGGATACGGTCCCGGCGATATTGGGTAATGGAAGTGGTTACTACGAACTGTGTGGTGTCATTTCCCATAAGGGGCGTAGTGCGGAGTCCGGGCACTATATCTACTGGGGGAAAAAAGGAAGCCAATGGCTTGTGTTTGACGACGACCACGTTGCGGCTGTTTCTGAAGACGATGTGAAGCGACTTCGAGGGGTTGGTGAGGCGCATATCGCCTACGTACTGCTCTATCGCAGCCGGGATCCTATATCCCACCGTCCTGTTATCCCTTTCTAGAAGTAAATTTCAGCAAGGTTAGCGAATTCAAATTCAGCCTGTGGGTATAGAGGGCCGTAACCGGTAATGTGGGTATTGCATGTTCGCTTCACACTATTGAAGAAGGAGGTAGAGAGAAGAACGCTGGGTGGTTTTCAATCAAACAGTTGAGAATTTAGTGGAAGCCACTAATTCATTAGTTTGCTACTCTGATACCGATAATAACCTCGGGCCATCTCGAAGGTCTGACTAGTTTCGATGTCGGATTCTGTTTTTAATAGGGCGCTTACTGGGAAAGACATCTAGGAGACCTACTATTGGTGTGAAGCCAGAGATGTGCGTATTATTATAAAAGGAAATTCGATGCAATTACCTGCGTTACCCGTAGAAGCCTCAGGTTCCTTTTACCTCTAAAATATATTTGATGCTTTGTTTCTGAAAGCACCTGCTGTGCATAAAACATTATCGAAGTTCTTCTTTTTTTCTGCATGCGGTAACTATGCCCTTGTTAATAAAAAAGACCCATGTATGGCATTCATACCTCCACGAGGGTAAACATCTTGGATTAGGAGTCCCAGCATGCTTGATAAAGCATCAGTACACACTCTCAAGATGTGACATCTAGTTTGTATGATGCCAGTATTTTCTTTACAAGTAAATTTTAAGTTTTGAGTGAGTGGTAATTGCATCGCATATTGGTAAAACCATTCAGAAGTATGAAATTCCAAACATAACCAAGACATGGTCACTTCTTTGTGGTATTTTCTGTACACCCCTGTGTGGTGACCCCGCATTCCTTAGGGTCGCTTGACAACAACGTCTTGCAATATTGGAGTTCTGAGAAATACACAGACCGAGCGGTCTTTTATCACCCTTTTTGCTTTATTTTCTATGGCGATGTGCATTCTGTAGAGCGGTTGACTCCTATCTGTTGGATTGGTTATGGTGTCATTCTATTGCGAAAAGGGTTCATAGTTTCCCATTTAGTTTCTTGTTTAAACATTAGCGGACTGCTCTAAACAAATAACATACTCAGGTCATATTCAAAAGGGGATAAGGGACTGTGAGTTAGATGATAGCTTTTTTTAAGAACTAAGGTATTACAAATATGATTGGCGTCCGAGGTCACTCGCAGAGGAAGTTTACATAGAGAGGTCCGAACGATTGGTCATATGAAGCTTACCATATTCATTATCTAAAGAATTGTTGGATCAGTTAAGAATGTTTGTGATTTCCCAACCAAATTCGTATTTCTTATTTTATTTGTAGAAATTAACTGTTTTTATGATCTTTGAGGGGTGGATTTCCTTTAAAGATGTGTATAAATATATATTTTTTCTATCTGGAATGTACCATGAGAGCAAACCAGGCTTCATTGTTGCTCTTTATGTCGCTAAGAGGATTATATTTCCTACGTCTTTTTAGTTTCTTATTATTTATATCAAAAAAAATGTTAGGTACAGAGCCAATTTAAAGAGGGTCTTATTATCGTATTTACTTTTCCTATGCAAATGAATTACTTGCTCAGCTTATTGCTGCTCATAGCGCTGGTGGGATGCCCCGCTGCCCACGCGGTTTCTCATGTTCCACCGTCCCCCAACGCGACCCACTTTTGCAACAACGGGATTCAGCTTGAATGGACGGCACGGGTGGGCAGCAGCATCATCTCCACGCCCCGTATCGTCGATTTAATGCACGAGGGGCGCAAGGAGATTCTCATTCCCACCTTTTCTCATTATTTTGAGGCCCTTAGCGGCTTAGACGGTCAGAGCATCCCCGGATTTCCATTTGTTCATTCAAAATTCAAGACCTATGCGACCCCACTTCCGGTTGACATGGATGGTGATGGACGTACGGAATGGCTAGTGGCCATGTATACGGGCGAGCTCATGATATTTACTCAGGAGGGAAAGTCTCTTGGGACGGTACCCGTTCCACCACTAGTGGTTAAGAAAAACTGGATGAAGCTTGAAAATGCCACTCTTGACGAAATGATATCCAAACAGTTTCCAAAGCTCAAAGCGGAAGGCCAAAGAACACCTGAGGAGATATCTAAGACCAGGCGCGTTATTGATTTGTCTACCATTCGAGCACCCGGCGCCGAGGATTATGAGGAATTCACGACGGATTCTGCAGAAAACTTGCGAACATCGCAATTCAATGACAAGCGTCAACATCCGTTACAGTCCACTGAATCCAACGGGAGTCTTATTCAGGATACCGATCAGGAATTCGATTGGGATGAGGAGACAGTCGATGACGATACACCCGTGGACAATGAGAAGATGTCTGATTACCAAGGCGGGGATAAGGAGCCTATAAAGCTCAATCCCAACAGCACGCTCAGTCCTGAGGCTAAGGCCTCAATGAACCTTCTTTTCCATCCAGAATGGTACCAGACAGAGGTGGTATACGATGCGGAAGAGGACGCTTTCTCTGCGCACAACCTTCTGGGGAAGATTTCTGTTTCTGTTGAAGAGAATGAAATCGCGATCGACGCTCACATATTATCCACGCCTGTGATCACCGACGTGGACAAAAATGGTGACTTGGACGTCATCGTGCACGTCAGCTACTTTTTCGACATGTCTTATTATCAGGGAGAGAAGCGGAATCAACTTCCAAAGGATATCGATCCAGACGACTACGTCGCCACCGCTGTGCTTTGCATCAATTTAGTAACGGGCGAGCTCAAATGGATTTTTCCACTAGAATTGACAAGCAACAAGCGTGAAAATCTTGTTTATGCCTTCAGCTCGCCTCTCATTATTAACGCGGATCAGGATTCAGACATGGAAATATTCATCACATCATCCACCGGACGCATTGTCAGGCTATCGGCTGGGGGTGAACCTCTTCTCGGCAACTGGGCCACAACCAGATTTGGATCTATCAGCGCTTCACCCACGGCAGAAGATATTCAGGGGAATGGTGAAATTGCCATTTGTACGGGTGATGTCGAGGGAAGTATTGCGTGCTTTACTCCTCATGGAGACGTTATTTGGCGTCAGAAGGTTATTGGGGGCCTTGCCAACCGGGTAAGCTTTGGAGATATTAACGGAGACGGGGTAATTGATGTCGTTTTTGGTACAACAGCGGGACTTATTTATGCTCTGGATGGCCGAGACGGACATGTCCTAAATCATTTCCCCATCACCACAGGGGGTCCCATTATCTCTCCTGTGCTGTTGATGAATGTAAAGCAAAGGGATTCACAAGGTGGGCTCCATGTCATTGTGCCCTCTCATGATGGCAATCTCTACGTGGTGGATGCTGTTAGAGGATGCATCGAGAGTTTTGACATAGACGAGAAATCGTCCACGATAGTGCTGGCCGATGATCTGACTGGAAATGGACTTATGGATCTGGTAGTGACCACCATAGGGGGCGGGGTCTATGTTTTTGAAACGAAGAGCCCATTTCACCCTGCTAAGGTTTGGGCCAGCGAAACAAAAGGCATCAACGGGTATACAGCCAGCGAGAACTACGTGAGTATTTCCATTGATCCAGACTATCGCGTCCCAAGAGATATTCGCGGTGATCGCTTCAAACTCAAGTTTAGCATTAAGGATCCCCGCATTGTTGTAGAAAACCGACAATACACCGTATTGGTTTATGTTGGATCACGCGTTCTACTATACAAAGGTGTCTTTTACAAGCCCAATACATATACAATTGAAGTTAATACACCACTGGAGCGTATGTACTCTAGTTTGACCGTAATTCTTAGTCTTCCCAGTGGCCAAGTTCTTACAGACACAATTTCGTTGAGCTTTAACATTCAATTTTTAGAGACCATAAAGTATACATTAGTAATTCCTTTTGTTTTGACAGCCACGGCCCTCATGTTTGTGCGTAAGCAGCACGCAGTGGACTTCAGCAGAGCGGAACTATTGGTTTAATGTGCGGATTCGCACAATGCATTCACAAAGGGAAGGAACAGGCAACTGACAGCACCCGCATCGAAGCAGGCAAGTGGGAAATGAAGGAATACACTATGCCGAGGAATGTTACTCTATAGATAATTTATAAGCCTTAATCTATTGATGATACTGATTGCATATATTTTTTGACTGGAAGTTGTTGCTTGTGGCCGATTGGATTTTATTAGAGAATCACTAGCCTTACTTACTTTAAATTACATGGACGTGGAAAGGAATGTGACAAATATTAGCGTCTCTTCCTTTGTGAATTTGGAGAGGGATGTTTCATAACCTTTACGAAGATAAAAGTAGGAATTGCTTATTACATTGCTTGATTCTTCACCGATATCGGGTGAATTAAAAAAGCGTGTCGATATCATGAAAGTGTTAGGCCATATTAATGGTATTTTCATCTTTCTGTAGCCTGTGGTGGATCTTAGCAATTCAATCCCAAAACCGTCATTTTTTAAAACTCTTCCCTATTTTTAGTTTTCGTTACTCCGTTAGGATCTGAATAAAGGTCTGCCATAGTCCCAATCCTGCTCTAGCACCGCTGATGAACAAACCTTTAGCTCTTGGGATTGAAGGAAGTGCGAACAAAATTGGTGTGGGTGTTGTGGATGCTTGTGGACAGGTCCTCTCGAATGTTCGTGAGACTTATATAACCCCCTCTGGAACCGGCTTCCTTCCGAGGGAAACAGCTATCCACCACTCCAGACACATTCTCAGGCTCGTGCAACGTGCGTTAGATGACGCTCACGTGCGGTCTCTGGACATTAGTGTGATTTGCTACACCAAAGGTCCCGGGATGGGCGCCCCGCTCTCCGTGTGCTGTACCGTTGCCAAGACCCTTTCCCTCCTGTGGGGGTGCCCATTAATTGGGGTCAATCACTGCATAGGCCATATTGAAATGGGGCGTGTCGTCACGGGGAGTGTGAACCCGGTAATTCTCTATGTCAGTGGCGGGAATACCCAAGTCATCGCTTATGCCGACCATTACTATCGCATTTTTGGTGAGACGATTGATATTGCCGTGGGGAACTGTTTGGATCGTGTGGCACGGCTGTTGCAGCTTTCCAATGACCCCGCACCTGGCTACAATATCGAGCAAAAAGCGAAGGGGGGAAAGATTTTTATCGAACTCCCTTACGTTGTGAAGGGTATGGACATGTCCTTTAGCGGGATTCTCTCCTACGTGGAGCTTCTTTTACACCATCCCCAATTTGTCGAGAAACACCTCGCGGAGGCCTCGATGTCATCGGCACGAAAGCGTGGTCGGCACATCCCAACAATTCAGTTAGAAACAACCGAGATGTTCAATTCTGAGGACATTTGTTTTTCATTACAAGAGACCATTTTCGCAATGCTAGTTGAGGTGACTGAACGGGCCATGTCGCAGCTCCAGTCACCCGATATACTGATTGTCGGTGGTGTTGGATGCAATATGCGTTTGCAGGAAATGATGCGACAAATGGCCCAAGAACGGAATGGCCGCTGCTTTGACATGGACCAGCGCTATTGTATTGATAATGGGTGCATGATCGCCTACGCTGGGCTTTTGGAGTACTGCACTGGTGTTCGCACGGCTATCCCGGATGCCACAATCACCCAAAGGTTTCGAACCGATGCGGTGTACGTTGGATGGCGTGACTAAGGGAGCAATAGAAGGAGATAAGTGTAGATCACAGATTGAACCTGCAGGCCTTTCTTCTTGTGAGAATCCTTATGAGAGAGAGTGTGTGTATATATGTGTGGGGGGTATTTGTAAAGGAATCCTGGGTGTATTGTTTTGTTTTTCATCCGGTGTCCTCTTTTTACCCTCTTTTCGATTATTTTCTTGTCCAACTAGGTTATTATTTTTTACAGGCACGGCGTTTTGTACCTTTTGAGGCATCGTATTCTCCTCGCTATGCCAATTAAAAGGAAGGAATCATCATGGATAAGAAATCACCCACTTGAAGGAGATAACATTGTCTCTGGATTTTATAATTTTCTCGCGAAGCGTAATCCTAAAACATTGAAGCCATGTAGAGGAATTTTCGTACCTGATACAGTTGTATTTGAACGCAACTTTCCCCGGGGGTGGTACGTAACTGATGTCAAGGAGTGCGAATTGATGCGCAGGCAAGGCAAGGATCTTGATGCATCCACAATCATTAAGGGATTCACTGAGAACATACCACCTACCTGTCCTATTGTCGCTACCTACTTGTGTAGGTGCGAAAAGACTCTGGAAAACGGCGAAACTGAGATGAGTACGCAAGTGGAAGTCTTCAACAAGAACACCATCGTTGATTTTCTTGCGAGTACTACAAAGGGTGATGGCATACTGCAAAAGTTTGTCTTACCCAAAGGCTACCACAATAGCGTGATCCAGGTAGTCTGGAGTCCACGTGTGTGTATGGTGCAGCGCCGCACCAACAAATTCACCGTCACGGACAAAAAGCGAGCGGAGGTGGACCCCTTTGGGTCGGCTGTGACCTATGAGGGACCGCCCCACCTCAGTGAGGTCGCAACGGTCTCCAGTAATGTCTCACTGACCGTTAAAAACCTATGTGGGAACATTGTGCAGCACTTTTACCACACCGAGCACAAATTTATTTCCAGGATGGTTCTCTATTTCAAATCGGATAAACGTGACCGGCTGTGGTTTTTGTGGTGTGGGTCGTTCAGAACGTCGGATCGGAATGTTTCCAGTGAGATGCCCCTCAGCCTGGCTACTAACTTCATCGAACCAGCAGACAATAGTAGTTTCGATGAGGATAAGCTCTTGCTCGCTGCTGATAACTCTTATCTACGTGCCACAAAGGATGAAATGTTTTATGAAATGTACTTGAAGAATGTGTCTTTAAAAAAATCATCCGGGGTGAGAAAGGATATCGCTTCTTCTCACTTGAAACTAACTTCTGAGGACAGTAAAAAAATGGAGGATGGAGAAAATCCAGTCACTAACATCAACAGTTTGTCGCTTAGCACCCATCTTGTACAGGAGACGCTGGAACAGATTACATATCAGCGGACAATCACACTGGTCTTTTTTGAGGACCTTTTTTATCAGGCTCGCAATCATTTCATGTCGGTTCGAAACGAACCATTTATATTTAAAGTCCCATCCGAAATTGTAAATAATCTCACAGAGGGATTCATTCTTGAACTTATGTCAATGCTACATATAACTTCAAAGCTCTGTGCTTCTGGGGCTGAACTTCACCAATACGAGATTAGCCCGGCACTTAAAACCCCCATTACAAAGCTTCAAGATGATTCTAAACGTCGTATCAATGTGTTTTTCTCAGAAAAAATAGAGAAGCTAAAGGCGTTTAAAGAAAAAAATGGGAACACCCAAGATGCGTCGTTGTCCGCAGACAATCCCCATGATGACATTATTTGTATATAAATGGTTAGGTAGAATCTTTTTCTTTTCTTTATTTATTCCCTCCATGTATGCCGAATCCCCAATGTAGTTGTTTACATTAATCATTTTTATTTTCAAAGGGAGGATAATAAGAGGAAGAGATTACATGGAATTTAGTATTTGAATGAATCACAGTGTTTACAAGACTAAAAGATATTTTGGAATCATGTAGCAACCTTAATGTGCAACCGATTGATTTTTTAGGTCCTTTTTCCCCCATTCTTGAAAGTAACCTATTTAGAGCTAGCTCTTGTTATTGAGTAGAAGATAAATTTTGTAATTGTTTTTATTGTATTAAAAAAGATACAATGCAGCAACCATATCCAACCTACGGGCAATATGATCGTCCGGTTGCCTATAATAACGCGGGTTTTAATGATGTCAGCCGCCTTCCAACTGAATACGCACCCCAAGCAGCGTC